GGGACATGTACTTGTGGCTGTCCGGTCTCTGTACAAGCTTAGCAGGGGCCACATTGCTGCCACTGGATTAGACCTGTTCTTGATGCATGTTGGACTCTGACAGGACTGCAAATATTGGTTCTTGTTGGAGGAGCGTTCTTGTCCTCAGTGGATCAGTACAAGTACCTTGGGGTCCTGTTCATGAATGACATGAAGACAGAGCTGAGCACAGAGGAAAAGCTCTCGATTTATGTTCCTAACCTCAGCTATGTTCATGACCAAAAGAACGAGATCTTAGATGTCAATGACTCGAAGGCAATCCCTCATACTAAGCATGCTTGTAGCAACAGTGGAGAGGAAAAACTAATTTTAAGAGGTAGAAACCTCAAGTAGAATCAGGCTCAGTGTGAGCAGCCATCTGCCGAGGCCGACTGGGGTTCAAGGAGACAGAAGCAGAGATACAAAAAGCAACTGTAAAAGGCGGCCCCGTCCAGGAAACACACAGCCAGGCAGACAAGCTCTGAACCAGCTCCCATGTCAGAGGATGAAGAGAGCACATCCAGCCAGTCACAGTCAGAGAAACAGGACTACACTGGAAAACAGGCAGGTGCTGATGGCAGCAGCACAGCTGATATTTCTCTCCAGGATGGAGTCACAGCCAAACAAGCGAACATAAAAGGATTCATGATTCTACTTTCAGTATGAGGAAAAAATACAGGGAGGAATATTCAGTTGCTGAGAGGATCAGAGTTGAACAAGATACGATTTGTGCCATGGTGTGGGAAAAAAACTCATTCAATCAGCTTCTGCAGTTTTTATACTCTATGCAGAATCTCCAGTTATACCCAATATTCTGGACGGCTCCAGGTGGGTGTACACAGCAGAAACTGCAAGCTTACAACACCAAAGGAAGTAGAAAACACAGTCATCTTTGACTTCTTCTCTTTGTGTCATCTAGGAGTGAGAGTAATTTCTCTCAGAGAGGTTTTAACAATCTGTTGATGGTGTATATATTTATTGGCTGAATCATAGACATTTCTAGAAGTGTTTATTTTTTCCAACCTTTGCCTGTAGGAGCTGTCTCTCTTCCACCAGGCTTCTCCATGATGTTGTCACACATCTTCCAAGGTGCGCAGTAGTGAAATTCTGTCTATGTAGACGCAGTGCGAAGTGTGGAAGCTAACGTAATTACGTAAATTACGTAATTTGGCATCATGGCCACGAGGTTGTGAGACTAAACCCTCTCCTCCAACTTTATTCCTCAGAATACCACAAAGTTCAGGATCAGGGTTCAGGGAAATTACTGGAAACTTTATTAGATGTCTTTTCTATTGTTATTGATCAGTTAAATATAATGATGTATACGGATACTGATTTAAACTGATTAACTACCTCGTTGTGTAATACAGCGGACTGCAAACATTGTGTTAGATTTTAATTGCTGTGATAATTCGTCATTTCATCTTTTTTATGAAACTTAAAAAGGAGGACAAAGATAGATCATTCAGATATTATTGAAAAAAAATCTGGGGTTTTATCTTTACGTCATAAACGCAGCAAACGGTTCTATAAAGTAAAGAATCAGGAACACTGAAGACAAATGAATGCCTCAGTCTTCTATTTTTAAAGACTTTTGAAAAACAAAAATAAAAGATATATATTCTTCCTTCCACCTAACAGTAAAACAACTACTTTGTGTTGATCTATCACATAAAATCCCCAAAAATGCAATAAAGTCTGTAGCTGGAATGTGAAAATATTGTGTAAAGGTTCCTCTTAACAAAACATCAGAGTACAGAGCACTAATGTACTTTGAAGAATGAGCAGCGCTGCGGGTCGGAAACTAAACACTGACAACTTTGTATTTCAGCTGTTTGCTTAGAGTTTAATCCCTGCTGGAGTGTAAAATAACTTATTAATCATTCTGCTGTACATTATCAAAGCCCATGTGTCTGAGAGCAGATTAAGCCAAAGAAAATCAGTGACTCGGGGGGGGGTGAGGAGCTGCAGATAGAGCGACATGGAGGAGGAAAGGGGTTGAGTTTAAGGGTGTTAAACTTCATGGAGTCCCACAGGGTGAGGATACAAGGAAGAGGATGTGAATGAAGGTAATAGAAAATGTAAGAGCAGAGGTCAGAGAAGTTATGGCTGAAGTTGGGCTTTTTTTTCCAGGGAGCTCCTCATGAGGCAGAGCGCTGCTATACACATAAAGCATGACCACTTCAACAATAAAGCAGAGCTGCTAAGGTTCAGCAGGCTTTGGCTTTCGCTCCTTTTTCCTCCGTGCTACAAAGTCCTTTAACGCATATCCGCCCCCCCCCAACAAAGAGGTAGAATGTTTCACAGTTCTCCTAATCATAGGATCCTGATCCTATTTAACAAGAGTCTAAATAAAGCTATCCAGATTTACTTTTCCATGGACCAACGACTGGATGTGATTATGCTGTTATATGATCAGACCCCGGCTAACAGAGGGTTTCCCTTAGGGGGGGAAGCCCTGGGGATTTAGACAGTGGTTTTTATATCTCACCGCGTTTAAATATAGCTGTGGGGCAACAAACCTGTGTTTGTCAACAACTCCCAGGGTTTCCTTGTGGCTCTTGCCCTTAATGAGCCTACCAGGGTTCCCCCTTCTCATTAGCAACCGAGTCAGCTTTTCTCTGTCGCCTTGTTGTGGTGTGAAGTGGAGGGGCTCAGGTTACACCCCCCCAAATACAATCCCCTGCTCTCAGCCCATACAAAATGACTAAATTAAAGGAAGTTTTTTTTTTCTTCAAATAAGTGGGGGCTCCCCCTTATTTGCTAATAAGAGTAGGATTTTTCATTCTTAAAATAAGACAAAAAACATTTATGAATCTTTTTTTTCCCAGTGCAGTAAATAGATTTTATCTTATTAAGAAGCCAAAATACTCACCCCTTTATTGTATTAGCTTAATTACCTGCTCAACCTCAGGTAAATGCATTAAAATAAAGAACTTGTTTGTAATTTTTAGATACATTTTTGCATCATAATCACTTTTCTTTCATTTTTTTTTTTTTATGATGTAAATTGCAGGCTTTGGCTGCTTATATTCAGTTAGAGAGAAGAAAATCTTGATTTAAATGAGCATCCTATTGTTAGCTGTCACACAGACTCCATCTGCTGGACGGAAAATGTATAACATTCCAAAAGTTGTGGTAAAAAGAAGAAATTCAGTGACTTGAAGAAGGCAGATCCAGGTATACCTGGCCCAGTAGAGGAGGAAGTCTTTACAAAAAAACAGACAGAAATAAATGAAGGACTAAATTATATAAAACTGCTTAAAAAATAAGTTTTATATAATTAAAATTACAATTAATTATTATATATACAATTTTATATAATTAAAGTCTTAGGGAATTAATATTTAAATGTTGAATCATTCTGGTTTAATCATGTATGTGTGTAAAATGTATAAAAATTTCTATAAAAAAAAAAAATCCTGTCTTAAAAATCTGTGTTTTTTTCTTCATTATCTTATGCAGGCCAGTTAGTTATACGTCTATCTGAACACCTAAATTCGGCCAATCATATATCAACATCATCTTTCAATCAAATTCTTTTGGTCATAGCATCTTGATTCACATGTTGCAGCTAATATACGCAGTGGTTGAAATAACAATCTTCGCAGAGTAATGGTGAACTTTATAGGCGTATAGTTGGAGAGCCAATTGTTGGCTGTTTCTAAATTCACTAGAACCCGAGTAAGGACTCGTGTTCTCGCTAAGTATGTTCTTGAGAAGAACACAGTAAAGTGTGGACTCTGGGAGAACGGGAGCATGCAGGATAAACATGGGTCCATTGGAGCAGAAGCGTACTGATGACATCACCCCCTGCTCGGCTCACCTGGAGCTGCATTTCACCTCCTGTTATTAATAGTCTCTAGATAATAATGAATTCGTACCTTTTTGACTTATTGGGGGAATAATAATGAACACAGTCGTATAAACACAAATCAAATGAACATTTTTACCAAATAAAACAGTAAACTCTCCATCACAGCCAGCGGTCCTTCACAGACGGCTATGCAGAGAGAGGGCTGCTGCAGACGGGCAACAATTAGCCCTGGCTGCCGTTAGCCTCAGAGGTCCGCTGGTTGCCTCAGTCCTCACAACATGTGAACTTTTTTTTTTTTTTTATTACGCATTAAATCGGTAAATGGGCCATATAGTGACCCTTAAAAGTATAATGTTCTCGCCTCTATTGATCTTAAAACACAGGTGTCAAACTGGTTCCAGAAAGGGCCGTGTGGCTGCAGGTTTTCTTTCCAACCAAACAATAGCACAACAGACTCCATTCATATCATCAAGTCATCATGTTCAGATTGGACTCCCTTGATGAGTTGACTGGAATCTGGTGTTCTATTGCTTGGTTGGAAAGAAAACCTGCAGCCACACGGCCCTTTCTGGAACCAGTTTGACACCCCTGTCTTAAAAAATACTTTTATTGAACAACAGCAACAGAAAAGAGAACTTTTAACTTAATACTTTGAGCTCTGTGGGTGCTCCACTGAAAGGAGACGGAGGAGACTCATCCACGACCTCCGACACTAAACTCTCCTCCTCTTGCATGTTTCCTCTGTCCATAGCGTTCCTTGACAGTGTCGTTTCTAAGTCACCAATTTAGTGCTACTTGGTCCCAATGGAATTTCCCATTGGGAACCTACTAGCACTAAGTTGCTAACTGGTTAGCGAGATGCTTCCAACAAACCGGCTACAACCAAACTTGCTTGTGAACCTTCCACCACAACAATCCCGCCTCCTTGATAATCGACCAATCACATTCACTTTATTCACTCATGTAAAGTCGTGCACCACTCGGGAGAATTCGGAAATGCAACGTTTGGAACAGCCGTTTCCCTACGACTTTAAGTCCTTCATTTATTTTTGTATGTATTTTTAATTATGGCAGGATTGGTCCTCCATATAGTGCTGCCTTTGGATCATTATAAATCAGATGGGCTGTACATTGAGAGAATAACACTGAGTGGTGGGACTCTTACCTGAGCAGAGAGAAAACGCTGTAGGAGTTCCTGACTGAGCATTGGTCCACCTGAAGCAGGCTGTAATTCTTCCGCTCTGATGGATCCTGAAACAGACACATCTTTAGCGCTGAAGCTTCTCTATTTTCAAATACAACTATTAGGAGACTCTGTTTCTTAACTAAAAGAAAAAAAGGCCAAAGGTAATACCTTGTGATCAAAGTCAGCTGCATAGTAGCCATCATTCAGTCCAAATATGATCTCATTTGGGTATCTGGATCGAATCTGTGGGCAGAGCGGGATGGTAGAGGCTGAATATGGGGACCAGGTCGGAGAGAACAAAGTACAAGAGACATCTGGATGTGCATGAAACTGAGTTATCTGTTTATGAGCTCTGAACGCAGCCCCACTGCGAAGGAACAGCAGAACCGTAAGCTTGCTCTGATGTATCATGAGACTGATCGGCCTCTTATTCGATGCACTAAACTCACAACAGACATCGTTTAATGATTAGCTTCATTCAGATTTGGCACTAGAGCGCAGAATTACAAAATCGATTATATTACACATTAAAACTTCATGATGGATGTAAAACGCATTTGGAAGATCAAACAATAATCTAAGCTTCCCACACTTGAGAAAAACAATCAAATAACTTCAATTACTTCAGCAATTTCCTTAAGGCTTTGAATAATAGAAAGCAGGGAGCTAAACTCATCTGCTCACATATAGGAGGATCAGATTTATCGCGGCGTAAAATGAGAAAGGAATGCAGAGATGCAGGATTTACTCCAGCGCAGAGTTTACAGTACAGGAAAATCTGCAAGGAATGTAGGATTTACTACGGTGGAAGACTTAGGATTTGCAACCTTCTTTCTAAGAATCCAGCGTAAATTAAAAAGGTAACCAAACGACCTGTAGATCATTTAAACCTGATACAGAGCGAAGCTTCCAGTGGGTTTGTTGAGGCGGCGGAGAGCAGCAGGTAGCAGGCACCTTTCTGTGGGGTTAGGAACACTTTTCAAACGTACTGACAGTGAAAACAGCTCATCTCTGGATCCGCACCTGTTAGAGTTTAAACTCTGCTTAAAAGGGCTACAATTTCTCAACGTAACGGAATAATACGATCTGAAGACGATCCAGAAGCAGCGTGGCACGGCCCTGCATAGACATAATTTAAGAGAGCTTCTTTTATTTAAAAAAAACTAAATATATGGGCATCCCCTCTGCTGGGTTAGGGAGGAAAACTAGGATCCGGACTGAAAGTGGACGATTGTTTGAAGCCAGAATGAATGATTGTAGGCTGGGGCAGCTGTGAACCTGCACATCTGGACAAGGAGGAATGACTTCAACACATTTATTTATTTAGAGAACAGATATTTCAAATCTCGACGTGGAAAGAGTTTTAGTTTTAGTTAAAATAGAAAACTATGAACATAACGGTAATCATCTTACTGGAGTCTAGATTAGATTCATATCTAAAGCTATGAGTTGCAAGAGGTTAACAACACAGAAGATTATTAGGAGGTGGAACAAAAAGAAAAAATAATAATAATAAAAATAAAAAAAAATCACATCAAGCTCAAATTTTAGAATTTAAAATAAAAGATTAAACCTGATGGATCTAAAGTATATATATATATATATATTTTTGCCCTTTTAAGCTAATGGCTCTAAAGCAAAGGTCAAAGACCCCCAGATACCTGTTATTACATTTACATTCATTTTTGCCATTAAAATATCCATATTTGGTCTTGCCTGTATAACACTATTGGCTTGAAATTTTGATTTTCAAAGTACCATAATTTTCGGACTATTAGCTGCACCTAAATATAAGCCGCAGAAGCTAAATTGCATGATTTGTACATATACAAGCCGCACCGGACTATAGGCCGCAGGTTTTTTATGTTTAATATCCGTCTTTCTAGCTGTCGTTTTGTCTCGTACCACTCGCGGTAGAAGTCTGCTTCCGGAGGGCCTCCGCATTCCCGCTTTGCTTCAACACTTGTGTGTTGAAGCAAATGTGACGTCAACATGGTGGATGGTAAAATCCATAGATTTAGGTATAACCCTAGTGGCCGTTAGCTGTAAAAGTTCATAGATAAGCCGCATTGTTATATAAGCTGCAAGGTTGAAAAATGGGGAAAAGTCGCGGCTTATAGTCCGAAAATTACAGTATTTCACTGAGTACCCTCTAACGGGATTAATCCCCCACTGCTCGCCGGGTGGCGCACAATGCTCCCCAAGGGGATGGGTTAAATGCTGAGGTAAATTTCTCCAATGTGAGATCAATAAAGTTCAATTATATTATTATTATTATTATTGATAAAGAGACAGAATATAGACCCCTTGCTGTGTTCTTTCCAGGGGGGAAGACAGGTTAGCAGCAAAGTCTTTAACCTTTATTGCCAAAATATTTGACATCAGATCAGTTAGCAATGACAAAGATTTGACCAGTTCAGTGGATTTTTTTTTTTTTTTTTTTTAATGACTATGATCTTGATGGCTGAGAATCTTCACCAGCGTACTTTAAAAATCAACGTTTCAAGCCAATAGTGTTATTGAAATCCAGGACAAGAGCTTATTTCCTGTGGAACAAAAAAAATATGGATATTTTGATGGTAAAAATTAATGTCAATGTATTAAAGCTACAGTGTGTAATTTTCAGCGACAACTAACGTCCAGACTGCAGACCGCAGCAACATGAACATCTCCCCCCCCACCGCTTCTCCCCCCCCAACAGTACGGCGAGCGTTACGGGACAAAATGTCTTCCACGACGTCCGCATCACCTACCCTCTCAAGTGATGAGGTTTGTTTACATAGATAATTTTACAGATAGTATTTCATTAGTCTGTGTAGGGTATAGATTTCATGAAGACTTAAGATAATAAATATACCCGTTATTTTTTCTACATCGTTGTGACGTTTTGGCGATCTCGCAATCACTAGTTTGTTGGCTCTGCGCTGCCGTAGCGCAAAGATGTCTGCCTCCATGGCTGCGAGACCCGCTCCTATGTAATTATAAATAACGAATTCTAAGGCAACGCAAATATTAAGGTTAAGAGGCTGAGCTCGTAGATGATGATAAATAACATAGTTATGTATAATATATTACATTTCTGACTGTATATCCCTGTAATTATTACACACTGTAGCTTTAAGAAATGCCAACTTGCCCAAATATATTAAGAAAATAAAAGTGCTTCTATATGAAAATCATGAAAAACACTTTTTGTTGGTACAACATAACCTTAAAGACATTAATGCTGATACTGGCAGAGGCTTGGGCATCGCTACCGAAGAGACAGAGAAACAAAGACAATACAGAAGGAACAGAAATTTAACAAGGACGTTTGTTGAAATGAATCTGGAGTAAATCTGAAGGAGGACAAAGCCAACATGAAGAAGACGATGGAGTGGTCAGATTAAAAACTACAATTAACCTGTGGTCAGCAGGCAAACCTACTGCGCATCTCCTTGTTTCTACCTTCCTCATGATAAAACATTGTGGTGGCAGCGTCATGCTGCTGGTGCTTTTCTTCTACAACAGGGATCTGAAACATTTACAGCCCAAAGAGCTGTTTAAGCACCAGCTCCTGTTGCATGAGGTGGAGCCGCAGGACCTACAGGACACTTTGGAGAAGTTTTATAGAATCTAAAAGACTTTTCTGATGGTTTATGCAAAGAATTTCAATTATTTTATTCTAAAGTCCATTTCACACAGCTTTCTCACACAGATTCATGCAGATCTTTGCCACATATTTAATGATAACTTCTGATACTAGGAGTCTCTGGGGACCGATCATCGGGAAGATCATCCTGCCAAGTGTGGAGACGCTGCATGAAAGTCGTGATCTAAGCTTCTCTAAGACAATGAAAATTGAGCATGAATGGATATAAAAGGTTAACACTCCCCTAGGTCTACATGAAAAGCCAGGAAATTTTTTTTTGTCCCCCTCTCCTCCCCGTACAAAGAAAAGTAAGCGTGCTCCAATAGCCCCACTTAAATATTTAATAACTGGATTGTCTATAAAACAGTTATAATTGCTTCTACTTTAACAAAAGATTCAAAACTTGCCGGCAAAAAATGTTGGATTTTTTTGTTCTGCTATTTGCAGTTTTTACCTCCTAAATAAAAACACGCAGAAGGGAAAGGAGAGGGTTGCACATCTGTCCATGAAAGCTAGTAGCAGCTTTAATAGTAGAACATCCAAGGTCATAAACCTGGAAGCTAAACATGAACATCCCTCTGCTTAGTATAGAGCGGAGGTCTTCAACAGGGGGTCCTGTTGAAGACCTCCTACCTAACACAATTTCATACAATATATATAATTAGGGGGTCCCTGCTCCATCTGGCCATCAGTTTGAGGTCCTTGGCCTGGAAAACATTGAAGACTCCTGGTCAGGAGGACAAGTGACATGGAAGGAGGTAAAAATCACAATTTTTATGTTTGGCAAAGGGCCCAGCTCTAATACCTCCAAAGACTATCAGATGTAATGGGGAAAAAACGTGAGCTCTCAAAGTATTTATTCAGGGGCATGGAATAAAAAAGTCTGAAGCGTTGCAGTACTAAACTATACATCATTCTCTGTTTTAGTTATGCAAGACTGTGTTGTTTTCAGCAAACCTTAACAATCTTCGTATGTGGTCATAATTTAAAAATCATTATCTTCACACTTTCCTGCCATATTACCTATGACATTGCCTTCGTAAACAACCAGATGGAAATAAGATAAGAAAAGGTTAAAGACTTAAGAGCAGCAACTAGGAATATAAACAAATATTAACTTATAAGTGTCGGTTAATGGTTTATTAGATTAAAGAATTTTCCATCTGATTCATTGATAACGTCCAATTAAAAGAAAAGCTTTTTATGTTGTATTACTGCTATCCACTAGAGGGCGCCATTATAACAGCCTCACTGGTATTAACAAGAAAGTAAAGCAGGCTGGAGGGAAGCAAGCTAAAGCAGAAACATGAATGGATCCAGATTTTGATCAGGGATTATTTACACTGTTTAATGGAGACAAAGATGCTGAATGAACATTATGAGGTTAACCGAGGATAAACGTTTGTAACAAGACAGAATGAGACAAAGCTAGCAACAATAACGGTAGATTGAGAGGTTTTTAGTGATTTAATGCACGTCATGGTTCTGGTTTTACCATTCCTCTGAGAATAACTAGAACAATCAGTTAGCTTACAATAAAAAATGGAGAATTATATCCTTGTTAACAATAATCCATCCATTTTCCTCACGCTTACCCCTGCTGGGGTCACAAGGGGATCTGGTGCCTATTTGGGGCCCACCCTGGACAGATCGCCAGAGAGAACATGCAAACTCCATGCAGAAAGACCCGGGCCAGGAATCGAACCCTTAACCTTCTTGCTGCAAGGCAGCAGTGCTACAAACTGCACCGCCCTAGTTAGCATCCACTGGATTTCGATGAAATAAATTTCATAAAGCAACATACCCTGTCTTTAAATTATACTCTTACATCGCTGTACATTGGACATTCTAAGTGTTTCAATATACGTTCAATAGGATCATGATTTGTTGTATATTTAATAATGTGCATTTTTGCAAAACATTTCTGTTTATTCAGTCAGTATTTAATACAGCTGCAACAACAGTATTTCATATACACTCACCGGCCACTTTATTAGGCACACCTGTCTAACTGCCCGTTAACACTTAATTTCTAAGCAGCCAATCACATGGCGGCAACTCAGTGCATTTAGGCATGTAGACATGGTCAAGACAATCTCCTGCAGTTCAAACCGAGCATCAGTATGGGGAAGAAAGGTGATTTGAGTGACTTTGAACGTGGCATGATTGTTGGTGCCAGAAGGGCTGGTCTGAGTATTTCAGAAACTGCTGATCTACTGGGATTTTCACGCACAACCATCTCTAGGGTTTACAGAGAATGGTCCGAAAAAGAAAAAACATCCAGTGAGCGGCAGTTCTGTGGGCGGAAATGCCTTGTTGATGCCAGAGGTTAGAGGAGAATTGCCAGACTGGTTGGAGCTGATAGAAGGGCAACAGTGACTCAAATAACCACCCGTTACAACCAAGGTGGGCAGAAGAGCATCTCTGAACGCACAGTACGTCGAACTTTGAGGCAGATGGGCTACAGCAGCAGAAGACCACACCGGGTGCCACTCCTTTCAGCTAAGAACAGGAAACTGAGGCTACAATTTGCACAAGCTCATGGAAATTGGACAATAGAAGATTGGAAAAACGTTGCCTGGTCTGATGAGTCTCAATTTCTGCTGCGACATTCGGAAGGTAGGGTCAGAATTTGGCGTCTACAACATGAAAGCATGGATCCATCCTGCCTTGTATCAACGGTTCAGGCTGTTGGTGGTGGTGTCATGGTGTGGGGAATATTTTCTTGGCACTCTTTGGGCCCCTTGGTACCAATTGAGCATCGTTGCAACGCCACAGCCTACCTGAGTATTGTTGCTGACCATGTCCATCCCTTTATGACCACAATGTACCCAACTTCTGATGGCTACTTTCAGCAGGATAATGCGCCATGTCATAAAGCTGGAATCATCTCAGACTGGTTTCTTGAACATGACAATGAGTTCACTGTACTCAAATGGCCTCCACAGTCACCAGATCTCAATCCAATAGAGCATCTTTGGGATGTGGTGGAACGGGAGATTCGCATCATGGATGTGCAGCCGACAAATCTGCGGCAACTGTGTGATGCCATCATGTCAATATGGACCAAACTCCCTGAGGAATGCTTCCAGCACCTTGTTGAATCTATGCCACGAAGAATTGAGGCAGTTCTGAAGGCAAAAGGGGGTCCAACCCGTTACTAGCATGGGGTACCTAATAAAGTGGCCGGTGAGTGTATAATGATGTACTATTTTTTAAGTTAGCATATATACAAAAAAAAAAAAAAAATAGCCCTTCATGTTATCCATTTTTTTTATACAAGATAAAACTATTTGCTGCTTCTTAAATGATTCGTAGAGTGAAACGATTAACGGTTGCTGACCTGCTGTCCCGTGTATCTGAGGCCATCCAGGTTGACCTTCCATTCAATGAGGAGCTGGTACTGTTCTTCCTGTCCGCCCCATATCCTCACCACAAAGCAAGACACCGACGTATCCAGGAGGTCTGGAAGCATACCAAAGTCCAGGCTCCGCCAGGTCGGGTTCTAAGGAGACATAAAAACACACACCTGAACTCTGGCACCTAATGACACAAGAATCCAGGGCTGAATAAAATCAACCAGGGTCACATCAGGTGTAAGAACTCGGTCTAAATGTCTCACTCTAACCTACATTTGAGCTACAGTGAGGAAAATAAATCACATATTGTGAATTCTGGATTATTTTTTTTAGATTATGTCTCACAGTGAACATCCACCTACGATGACAATTTCTGACGCCTCCATTAATTCTAAGAGGAAGAACTTGCAAAATAGCAGGATGTTCAAATTCTTATTTTCTTCACTGCACATAGTAAAGAATTAAATAAAAACAGCCAAACAAGGTGTAAAATGGAGCTCATGATTTTCTTTTGTTTAAATTGAATTTCTCCATTATATGACCCAAAATACCAATATTTCTACTGGGGTGTGTTATGGGTTGATGGCGAATATTTTTCTTCAGACCAAACAGGGAGAAAATTCCCTGCCTCTCTGGGACATTTTAAGGACAGAAGGTTTAAAAAGCAAAGAAACAAAAACCAGAGACAGGAGAATAGAAAATGAAGAAAACAGACCGTCATCCACTGATATACTGAAAACTCAGAGCCTCAGAAAGTTTATATCAGACTCAGTTCTGCTGTTAACTCAGCTTAATATGTTTTTATCCGTCTTTAACCTTTTGATGCCTGTTGTTGTTAATAAACAACAAACCGTTTGTATTACACTGCAAAAAATTTAAATCTAAGTACATTTTTCTTAAAATAAAAGCGTTTTTTTCTTGCATTGAGCAGGTAAGAGAGACACTTTGCCATTGGAACAAGACAATGTACATTTAAAATAAGAAACAAAAACAACTGCATTCTCTTATTTCAAGTGCATAATATCTAATTCTCTTATTTTAAGGGTAAAAATGCTCATTCCATTGGCAGATCATCTCATTTTCCTTCTCATATTAAGGGTAAATACACTTATTTTAAGACATTTTCAGTTTGCAGTGTAGGCAAACATCCATCATAATGTTTATGCATCACCCCAGTGCTAGTCACAGTGTATGTTATTATGTAGTTACAACTGCTGTTACAAAATATACATTACCTTCATTTCTATTTATTTAGTAACATTAACCATTTTAAATTGGCATGGCATTAAAGGGAAAAGGAAACACAAAATGTGTTTTTATATGTACATTTATATCAATTCAGGCTTCAAGGGGTTGAACCAACACAATCAGTAGAGAAGCCTCTGATAAATGAGGATAAGATTAACAATTATCTGCCAGCTTTCCTCTTGCTGTTATGCAAAGAGCTGGTGTTTTCTCTCGGCTGTATCCCACTAAATGAACCAGATGCCATAACGCTATGTTGGTGACATAACAGCAGACAGACAGGAAGTGGCAGCATACTCACCAGTGAGTCTCGAATGACTTCACTCTTGTAAAAGTCTGAAACAAAAAACACATGGAAAAGATTAACATCTATAAGAAACCTGCACAGAATCTCCAGCATTCTGAACTTACCAGACCAGATCAAAATAAAGCTCAGTTAGGCTCACCTTAAACAAGTTTCTAAATGCAGACGGGTTCTTTTGAGTCCAAAGAATTCATATCGCTATTATTATTATTGGTCTATTTCTGCATAGCAGCCATGCAAATCTATCTAAAAGTAGTTGTTTAGTCAGATTATGTATTTCTATGTGCAACCAGTCTGAGTCATCTCACATATCTTCTGTTTGAGACTGATTCAAAGTACCGGCAGGTCAATCCAGGAAATCAGGCTTTTAGCTAGGAATATTTCGTAGGGTGCATCACATCTTTAGGCTTTCCACGGAGTGGAAATTTAGACTCTGAAAGGCTGTTTCTGGCATGTCGAGGTGGAATGCAGCTAACCTTTTGTTTTTGATGCAACACTATTTTTGTCCTGATTAAGGGAAGTATGTGTGCTTGATAGAGGTGGAAATTTTATTAGTAAGATATGAGATAATTTTTAGGTACAATATTATGTTTCATAGGTTAATTCAAACAATCAGAAAGTGTAATGCTAAAGAAAAAAACATATGCAGTAATATGAAGTGAATTTTGAACAAGTTATTTATTTCTTTTTACATGGTAATTAGAAAAAGAAAAACACAATCCGGAAATAAAACTTTAGAAAAAAAGTAATCCGGAAATTACATTTTAGAAACGTCTTGGATAAACAAAAAAAAAGGTTTTAAGAGTAACTTTGCCGTTTTCTTAGACTTGATTTTTTCAGATTTCTCTTTTTCAGACTCAGTTTAATGAATTATTTCTGTCAGACTGCGTTTTACTGATCACATTCAATCACAGCCACATTAAGGTCAGACATCTTTGATGCTCCAGTAAAGTGTGTCCAGATGACTCTGCTGCTCCTGTGTTCGATGGCAGAGAGCGTCTGTGCAGCCAGTTCATTAAGATCTCGATCCTGCCTTATGATATTATTTCGCTGTCTGAGCCACTCAGACCCCCACAGATGGACAGTGTGCACTCACTGGGAATCCCCAGCAGCAGCTGTCTCAGGCCTGGTCGCCTCTTGGGGATTTTCCCCTTCTGCTTGTGGCAGCTGGAAGTAGATGTTATCGTTTTTCAGGTATATGGTGCAAACCGCAGGCACAAGAATAATAAAAGCATTTTGAAATGTTATGTTAATTTAGGCGTTAATAAACTGTTTCAGGGGAGTGATCATAGCGATCTGCATCAGCAGTGCTGTATCCGTCTCCCTGGCAGCTCCCAGATCAAAATATTAGATTACTAACATTTTTAGTAAAGGGCGTACAATGCAAGCAATGCTCACTAAAAGCTTGCAGGAAATGATCTCCTTCCTTGTTCGTTCACAACTTTCAACTTTATTTGGTCTTATTGTAAAGAATAACTGAACATCTATGAAAAAGCTGCTCTGTGATGGACTGGTGACCCGTCCAGGGCGTGTCCTGCCTGACGCTCATTGATGGCTGGAGATGGGCACCAGTCCCACGAGGGGGAAGGGATCTATGAAAAGTCTTTCTGCCGCTGCTATCAATTCGAAAAGTCCTTGTTTTGATTAAAGGAAAGACCTAAGTGGTCAATAGCCTTTCTCACACAAAACAAATAAGCAACCTAAGCACCTGTTCAGCATCTCTGGGTTGAATTAAACCTGCTGTAGTGATTGCAATCCTATGAGAAGGTCAGCACGTCTAACAGATTGGGGGAATGATGAAGCAATGCCAGAAGGTTAATAACAGCAGGTTTTTATGCAAACGCACGCATGCAGGCAATCTTTCCACATTTGTAATGAAAGAAAGTGATTCGGTCCATTCTTCTTTGAATCCTCTATTCTCATCATCCATCTTCTTTTTTTTTTTCCTTTGGCATCCACTGCCTGAGACCCACCCGCCGCTTTGTTTACTACAGCCACCTGCCAGGCACCGCGCAGCACTGAAACACGTGCTGCAGGCTGTGACGCAAATCTTCGTTGCCAGAAATGTTTACATTTATTTTTTTTTTTTTTTATTATTATTTATTATAAAAAAAATGTACAGCATTGGAAAATAAAATTTGTTTGACCTGCAAAAAAAACAAACAAAAAAAAAAAAACATATTTTCCATTTTGATACATTTTTGAAAAAGCTTCAGGGAGCCTCAACATGGAGCGGCGGGTTGCCGACCCCTGCAACAGGCTGATGATACAGACTGTTTTGTAATCCAAATTTAATGCATCAACTATTTTTAACCACTCTTGTAAAGTAGACAAACACAATTTATTTTCAGTTCAATCCTAACAAAATCATTTATCATGAATCCCTAAATGGACCACCACTGTCCACGGTGGAGCAGCTGGCATTAGCTCCCCTGAATTGGCCTACATTACATCTAGCTAATGATATGATTTTGAATTAGTTTTTTTTTTTTAACATGGTAATTAGAAAAAAAAACAACACAATTACGGAAATAAAATTTTGGAATTGTCTTAGTTGTTTTCTTAGATTTTATTTTTTTTTCTCCAGATTTCTCTTTATCAGACTCAGTTTAATAAATTATTTCTTTCAGATTACGTTTTACTGATCACATTCGAACACAGTGACAAGTAAAGGCACATTTCTATTGGCCTGCATGGACTTTAGCAGCAGTCTTATTTAAAGTTAAAACAATGATATCTGTAAAACACATTTGAAAAGAAAGCAAGTCCTAAAAATCAATCTGAAAATGAGAGTAATATATTTTAAAAGGTAAATCTTTAAAAGAAAAAAAAAATCAGAAAAAAAGACTGAAAAAAATATATTTCAGAGTTTTTTTAAATTTGTATAAACAAAAACATGTTCTTTGTCTGCAATAACAATGAAAAAAAATTCACTCCATATAGCAATGCCTTTTAACCTCAGGATGCTGTAAATAAATAAAAATAATGCTTGGTATGTGTAAACAGCACTGTAAGACATCTTCAGACAGTTTATCAGCAAACAAAAGATGGTTTGGGGGCGAGTTGTCCTTTAATTACTCCACACATCCCAAGCACACAGAAAATAAATTAATATTGCCGCTTTTAACGAAACAACCGAGCATCAATCCCAGCCTGGCTTTAGGCCCCAGGTGTTCCTTACATGACAGAAATGCAGAAAATGAAATTGTTATATTTCCTTAAAGCAAACCAGTTCTGATTGTGCCATATAAAACAAAAGTAAAAGTAAATGCATTTTTTAGCTTCTTTGACTGCATTTTACTTTGTGTGTTTTTTGTGATCGTCTCAAATCCAGTGCACTAAGAGTCTGCTTTGCTTGGACATTTTAAACCTTTGTTAGAGATCAAATCACTGCGTTTCAAACACAGCTTACAAGAAAGCTGAATTTTTTTTATTTTTTTTAGTGACTGGTCGGTAACTGTTGGATATTAAAGGAATGTGAGAACATTGGTTGCCTTTTGGATTCAAATGAGAGCTTCTGAAAAACAAGAAGAGGTGATAGTTTGTTTGTTTCTGGTGTTTCTACTGACCTCTAGAAATGCGATCTCCTACACAGAGGTGGAGGGTGAAGTAAGTGTCCAGCAGTGGAGAGCCATTCTTGTTCACTATGTTCCTGGCAGCAATGCTCCGGAGGTGACGCAACCGTCTCTGTGAGTAGAGAAAAAGAAACATGTTACCTACAGGAGACTCACGTCAGAACCGACCGACAGGAGGCCAACATCAGATCGACCGACTGGAGGCCAACATCAGATCGACCGACTGGAGGCCAACATCAGAACCGACCGACAGGAGGCCAACATCAGAACCGACCGACTGGAGGGCAACATCAGAACCGACCGACTGGAGGCCAACATCAGATCGACCGACTGGAGGCCAACATCAGAACCGACCGACAGGAGGCCAACATCAGAACCGACCGACTGGAGGCCAACATCAGATCGACCGACTGGAGGCCAACATCAGATCGACCGACTGGAGGCCAACATCAGATCGACCGACTGGAGGCCAACATCAGAACCGACCGACAGGAGGCCAACATCAGATCGACCGACTGGAGGCCAACATCAGAACCGACCGACAGGAGGCCAACATCAGAACCGACCGACTGGAGGCCAACATCAGAACCGACCGACTGGAGGCCAACATCAGAACCGACCGACTGGAGGCCAACATCAGATCGACCGACTGGAGGCCAACATCAGAACCGACCGACTGGAGGCCAACATCAGATCGACCGACTGGAGGCCAACATCAGAACCGACCGACTGGAGGCCAACATCAGAACCGACCGACTGGAGGCCAACATCAGATCGACCGACTGGAGGCCAACATCAGAACCGACCGACTGGAGGCCAACATCAGAACCGACCGACTGGAGGCCAACATCAGAACCGACCGACTGGAGGCCAACATCAGATCGACCGACTGGAGGCCAACATCAGAACCGACCGACAGGAGGCCAACATCAGATCGACCGACAGGAGGCTAACATCAGAACCGACCGACTGGAGGCCAACATCAGATCGACCGACTGGAGGCCAACATCAGATCGACCGACTGGAGGCCAACATCAGATCGACCGACTGGAGGCCAACATCAGATCGACCGACTGGAGGCCAACATCAGAACCGACCGACAGGAGGCCAACATCAGATCGACCGACAGGAGGCCAACATCAGATCGACCGACAGGAGGCCAACATCAGATCGACCGACATGAGGCCAACATCAGATCGACCGACAGGAGGCCAACATCAGATCGACCGACAGGAGGCTAACATCAGATCGACCGACAGGAGGCCAACATCAGAACTGACCGACAGGAGGCTAACATCAGATCGACCGACAGGAGGCCAACATCAGATCGACCGACAGGAGGCTAACATCAGATCGACCGACAGGAGGCTAACATCAGATCGACCGACAGGAGGCCAACATCAGATCGACCGACAGGAGGCTAACATCAGATCGACCGACAGGAGGCCAACATCAGATCGACCAACAGGAGGCTAACATCAGATCGACCGACAGGAGGCCAACATCAGATCGACCGACAGGAGGCCAACATCAGATCGACCGACAGGAGGCTAACATCAGATCGACCGACAGGAGGCCAACATCAGAGCTGAACAACAGGAAGCTAACATCCATGTGACAAAATGTTGGCTTACTTCCTGATTTATTATTCTTTTACATGTTTTTTGCACTTCAACAATTCAAAAAAATTGAAGAACCTTCGATATTATTAGACATTAGATGACACAAGTAAACCTAGAATGCAAATGAATCTCCATGACCTTGTGTGAAAAGTGGTTGGCCTTGAAAATATTAATAGTATGGGTGCTAAATGAAGTGTTAGTGAGGTAAAGCATCTGAATAGGAATCAGGTCTGGATTTTTTTTTTCTGCAGCCATTCAGAGGTGAACTTGCTGAGGCCTGGACCACGAAGCAGGATTACTGGGTTAGTGAGGCAACTTCAGCTTCAAACCTTACCTCCCTGTACCACTTAAGCTGGATTCTTTCTTAGCAAGGCTAGTCACCATGGTAACATTCTCTTAACAACAAACCTGCTCCGGGGCAGGCTAGCTTTCAGGATTGATCTAAATCCTAAAAAACACTCCATCCAGCAGCAAATCAGCTGTTCGTTAAACAATGACATGCCCTTTGATTGAAGACCTTGAAGAGCGCAAAAATAAATGAAACAATACATCACAATCAAATAACTTAAAAATCAAGTAGGAGGTAAAATATGGTCTTGACAAATTGAGTAGTTTTCCTTTGCCTCCTTTTTGACATACCAACCGACTGGAGGCCAACACCCTATATAATGTCCTCATACACTACTGGCACTATAAGAGATGTTTACTAGTCTTCTTTTTGACTACTATTAAGATGTGTTTGATGTTCTGAAACACTTTAGTGTGCTAAACATGAAAGAGAAGAAACCAGGAAGGGGGTAAACACTTTTCACACCCCTGTTTGTAGAGACCAGAAAAGCACCAAACTCCCCGCTGTACATAAAACCAGTCTGAAACAGCGCGTTCTAAAGAGACCTAGCGGGTTTGTTAGTCCTATCAGACCTGAAAAGTGTCTGGCGAACAAAAGCTGGACCCCACCCACTCGGGTTGTGATGGAGGAGGCCAAGCAGACCTGCTATTGGTCACAAACAACAACAACACTTAACAGAGCAGAACCATCAATAAAAAGATAATGTAGCGAGAATAGTTAGTGTTTTTACTACAGTGAGGTTCTGAATTATGTCTAGACTGAGCTGTATGGCTGAAACCATTAATCAGATTAATCCTGATTAATATATTATTAAAATAATCATCAACTAATTTAATAACTGATTAGTTGTTAACCGGAGTAATCAAACTAATGGTGCGTTCAGATCGAGCGTGTGTACAGCTGTAGTTTTCACACACCCCAAACAGTATCAAACAGGAGGAGCTTTAGCTGTATGAAGCTGACACCCCACCCACATGAAAATAATAGAGATGTCTGCTACTGCTGTTTCAGATGTATTAAAGATTTTTTTTTTTAGGTCATCCAGACTATCGCCTCATTAAGCTCCAAATTGACTCAAAATCATCTACTTTTTCAGGGCTATAAAAGTTCTGCATGTAAAACTGTTGTTTGCACTGATTTTTAATCTTGGTCTTATATGACATCGCCATCCCTGCAGGCGTCAGAGCTGTGCTCGTATCTGAATATAAAGTCATTTCATCACATACCAATCCTTTGGGCATGTTTTCAATGGTGTAACAACACAACAATAGGCCCGTATGCAGAATTATCTGGGCGGACCCCATCTGAAGTACAACATGTGATAAAGGTTCGGGATTGGGTGACAGTTCCATAAATCAGGTAAGAAGATATAATTATGCAATTCTCTAGTATATGATCACACATCACACACGGAAAAAAAGTGACTGCGCACCTTGAATGGAACCATTGATGACAGCACACCACCACATTACAGACACCCCAAGTTCTAAAAACATATTTCAGGGAGATGCTTATCGACCATTTTTTCCATTCTTCCAGCAGCTCTTCTTTCCTTTTTCTTTTCTGGAATCTGCTTAAGTTCCTCTTTTTGGTATCCATCGCCGCTAAACCATTGCAAGTAATGATTATGGTTTTAATGTATGCTCTGGGTTACCCATAATTCCAAGTCGTAGTGTAAAAAATACTCAAATACATCGTTCTTTTAAGATTCTTTATTGCTCTTTGAAACATATTATATGAGTATTTTTTACCAACCGTCTAATGAACTATACACAGTTATTAACAGAGTAATTAAAAGTACCACTGCCTGCTTTGCCATTTGTGTCGTGTTTAAACGGCTCACTATCATGGTGAAATCTGCCATGTGTTGTGGTATAAATACGTCCCGTGCACTCAGTCATTTCAGGATCAGGTGGGTTTAAGAGGAATTTTTCGCACCATTACATCTGCAAAGTTGTATGTTTGCGTAGGGGACCCACCAGGTGTCAGTGATGGGGCCCCTAAGAGGTCATGGGCCTGTAAGCAAAAGGTCTGCCAGGCGAGTCGTTTATTTAAGATGCTAAAAACCAGTTCAGGTGTCAGCTTCACAGTTTTATTGTCGCTTCTCTGAAACAAGTTTCATTTTAACAGGTTTGCACCTCTACTTCAAACATAAATAGTAACACGTCAAACACACAAAAATTTCACATCAAGAAGTATCAAAAACAAGTCTTTGCTCTCAGAGCATCACTTGTTCATATATTAGCTCAGTCTTTGTGAATATATATATATGTTGGGGTGTGTGAGTGTGTGTAGGAGGGGGAGGTGAAAGCACAGGAATTAGATGTTACAGCTTCCCGTTACTACACTCCCACCAGTAGTGGTCTAACTTCTTTCCTGTAGCAGAGGATAAGGTGGAATCTGAGTCATGGGATTCACTAGAAGATTAGGAAGTGAGAAACAAAACAACTGATTGTTTCACTGAGGACTTGAAACCCCCTCCTTAAAAACGTTCCTACATATTTCTGAATGGAGCTGAAGAGAGAGAACCACATGCAGGGGGAAATAAGATGGGAAGGAACTGGGTCAACAATCATGCTACATGATGCTTATTTTCCACCATAATTTGCAAATGAATTCTTTAAAAATCCTACAATATGATTTCCTGGATTTTTTTTCCTCATTCTGTCTCTTATAGTTGAAGTGTACCTATGATGAAAATTACAGACCTCTCTCAGTATACTAAGTAGCAGAACTTGCACAACTTTTTGGCCACACCGCATTTTATTATATGCCGCTTGTTTGTAGTTTTTGTGTTTTTTTTATTTGTTATTGATCACTGCATTGCGGCAAATGTAAGATCCTTTGGTTGTAACCCAGTGGACAAAGTTAAAATTAGCTTTTTTGTGAGAGCGTTGGATCAATAAATGCTCTGCAAGCCAAGAACATGAAGTTTTATTAATTTAATACAAGAGGACAGCCGATGATCCGATGCATCGACACGTCTCCGGTCTATTTTTATCCATTTGCTCCTGGACCTAATTCTGACTCCCGTGCTGTGTAAACGCTAAACCTATTTTGCCCTCCTACCTCGCTTCCTCTAGCACTACCCCATTTCTGTTTTGCACACACTTGCATAAAGAGTAGGCAAGACAAACACGG